GGCAGGAACTGGATGCTGCTCAGAGGACCCTCTACAGGGATGTGATGCTGGAAAACTACAGCAGCCTGGTGTTTTTGGGGTACTGCATGACCAAACCTGAGTTGATCTTCAGGCTGGAGCATGGATTTGAGCCACGGAGAGTAGGAGAAGCCTCACTCTGGAGTCTGTCAGGTACAGAAGCAAGGGAATCAAACACCTTAACAGAAGACCTAAAATGTTGAAACTCCTGCAGGGATACATGGCGAAAATGATGTGTTCATAAAGTGTGCTTCCCATGCGAGAGTGGCCTGGAAAATCAAGAGGGACATTTGTGGTGAGTAGGAATCACCAACAGTACTCTATCTAATGAAAATATGGTTGAAGCAAAACGAAAGGTTGGACAGGAAATTCATCAAGGTGCAGAATCCTTTGACTATAAAGCCTGTGCTCAAACACTTAACCAGAAGTTGCAGCAGAACAAGAATCACACATACCATACAAGTGTGAAACCATATGAATGGAAGGAATGTCTGAAAGCTTTCTATGATGAGTCAGTCCTCACTGAACCTCAGAGAAATCATACCAAAAAGAGGCTCTATGAATGTAATGAATGCAAGAAAGCGTTCTACCGCAAGCATTACCTCACTGTACATTGGAGAACTCATACAGGTGAGAGGCCCTATGAATGTAAAGTGTGCAAGAGAGGTTTCAATTACAAGTGCTCCCTCCTTATACATGAAAGGAATCACACAGGTAACAAGCCTTTTGAATGTGAAGAATGCAAGAAAGCTTTCTCCTCCAAGTCAGAACTTACTGCACATTATAGAATTCATACTGGTGAAAAGCCCTATGAATGTAAAGAATGTGGTAAAACTTTTAACTGCAAATCAACGTTAACTCGACATCATAGAATCCATACAGGTGAGAGACCCTATGAATGTAAAGATTGCAGGAAGACTTTCTATTGCAAGTCATCCCTCACTGTGCATCAGAAAATTCATACAGGTGACAAGTCTTATAAATGTGAAGACTGCAAGAAGGCTTTCTATTCCAAGTCAGGACTCACTCGACATCAGAGAATTCATACAGGTGAGAAGCCCTATGAATGTAAAGAATGCAGCAAAACATTCTACTGCAAATCAAATTTAGTTACTCATCGTAGAATTCACACTGGTGAAAAACCCTATGGTTGTAAATATTGTGAGAAAGCTTTTTACCGAAAGTCACATCTAACAGTACATCAGAAAATTCATACGGGTGAGAAGCCTTATGAATGTGAAGATTGCAGGAAAACTTTCTCCCGCAAGTCGCATCTCACATCACATCAGAAAACACATACAGGCAAAAAGCCTTATGGATGTGAAGAATGTGGGAAAGCTTTCTACTCCAAGTCAGCACTCACTCGACATCAGAGAATTCATACAGGTGAGAAGCCCTATGAATGAAAAGATTGTAGGGAAGCATTCTACCTCAAGTCACAGTTAATTAGACATAATAGAATTCATACAGATAATAAACCCTATGAATGTAAAGAATGCAAGAAAGCTTGCTACTCCAAGTCAGAACTTACTCAACACCAGAAACTTATACACATGAGAAGTCTTACTAATGTAACCAATGCATAAAAGCTTTTTCCTGCAAGGTAAACCACAGGCAACTTCAGAAACTTCATACAAGAAAAAAGCCCTATGAGTGTAAAGAATATAGGAACATTTACTGCTAGAAGTCAAATTAGAGAAACAGGTGAAGAGCCGTGTAAATGGAAAGAATTCAGGACAGGTTCTTCTATAAATCAGTGGTCATTGACTGTTAAGGTACTCAGGTGTATAAGTTTCTGGTGT